GCTGTGTTTTAGTGGACTAGTATTTTGTAAAATACAGTCACATGTTGGTTATAATACATTATATATGCATATACACTATTACTATTTACAAATAACTTCTTAAATTTCAATTTTTTCTTAAAACCTTCAACAGTAAATAATGAAGTAGAGTAAACAATTATCTCTTCTAGTTATGAACTTTGTACTTGTTTGCTGCTTGTCATAAGTTGCTGAGCCTTATCAAATTTCGCACTTGGAGGATGTGAAATGAAATAATATGTTTAAGGTTTTATATAAACATTTTGAAATAACCAAAAATCATAAATTACTATATCAATACCACTATAATTTATCAAGTTTAGTAACTAAGATGTATTTGGGTCTAAAAAAATATGAAATTTTGAGCTCACTAATGTCCTACCTTACCACTAGGAATCTGACATGAAAAGAATGATTTTCCTCCAAAATACTTTAAAGAGGCTGGAAAAACACTAGGGGAACATTCTGAGCTTTTGATTGCTTATACATATGTCATTGAACAAAGCAGGTGTATGTAAACAAGTATTTTCAAAAATTGAAGAGGTGGACGAGGCCACCTTGGTTGATTCAATAAATATATTAATATCTCAGAAAGTAGAAAAGATAAGAGGATCATATTTTGTATTCTAACTTATCAATATCAGTAATTTGAGTATCTAATTCATAAGAAACTAGAGACTTTGTATTTGAGCATCACAAACATCTAATTTGAATCAATGCTGCATTAAACATACCACGTGACACACAAAAATCTATATTTAGGTGTTTTTTTTATACATGATTTTAAATTAAGATATTAACTAATGCATAATACTAAAATTAAGTTAATAATCTACAATTTGATACCAAATTTATTTACATACATTCATAAAATAGCAGTTCAATAAAATTGTTAATGCAAGTCAACAAACATGATGACAAGGCCTTTGACTCATGTCAATAGGGTTAATCTACATTCTTTCTACATGTGGAAGGTTTAGTATATGTCAAGTTGTATTCAAGTTACAAATTCCAAAAGTTAAAAATTTGTGAAGTTCTGTGCCAAACTGAAGTTAAGAATTTTTCTTTAAGGTTTCTTTTGAAATAAAGGAATTAAAACTTAGATAATTATTTATATCAATATAATTATTAGTCACCACTAGAAGGTTCCAATAACAGTAGCTACTGGAAGGTTACATTAAATTTCACCACTAGAAGGTTTCAATAACAGTAGCTACTGGAAGGTTACATTAAATGTCACCACAAGAAGGTTTCAATAACAGTATCTGCTGGAAGTTTACATTAAATGTCACCACCAGAAGGTTTCAATAACAGTAGCTACTGGAAGGTTACATATTAGTCACCACTAGAAACTTCCAATAACAGTTTCTGGTGGAAGATTATATAAACAGTCCCCACTGAAAGGTCATGATGACAGCCACCACTGGGATATTACATTAACAGTTTATGGTGACAGAATGTTACAATAACAGTTTATGGTGGAAGGTTACATTAACAGTCAAATGAAAAGTCAAAATCATCTCCAAAAAATGAAAAGAACTATATATATTAATACTAAATAAATAGTAATTGGAATGATGTTCTTAACTGAATGAATATTAACACTATTATTTTTACAGCTCTAACATTTCAAACGTAATGATACTAATACTGACATTTTTAGTCCTTATACTCTTACAACTACAAATAACTGTAATGTATCAGCATCATTACTTTTACAGATACAAGCACAGTGCTATGATAAAATTCTTTTACTTCTATAGTTGAAAACAAAAACCCATTACCATTAGTACGTGAAATTAAATTCATTGAGCTGAAAGTCTAAAATCCAATTGTGGTAGGTATTTAGACTTAATAACCTAGAGGTGGTCAGAGAGTTATTTCTCTTTGCCCCTTTCTTGACTTATGTGATAATTTAGAGATCATGGTAGTTGGAGTTTGGGGAAATGAGTTGTGATTTCTGTGGTACTTCAATTTTACAAAATCAAATTTATTTGGTATGTGAAACTACAGAACATATAATGGCTTACTGCAACACTCAAACTTCAAAAATTTTCCCCATTAACCTCCTTCATGATGTAAATCCCTATCCATACCGAGTACGTTGGTTATGATTGCTTGAATACTATGCAGTTAAAGCAGATATAAAGATGGTTTATGCAGGCGAGCTACAAGAAAACTAAGAGGCAGCTTATAAACACACTTCCATTGTACCTTACCTGTATTATCCGATGACGCTTAATGTAGAAATGTGATTTGATAACTTCTCCAAAGCCAGGACTTGGATTATGGAGTTGGCCCAACATTGCATGCTTTATGTTAGCACAGCGTATGTCTGTAAAGAACTCAATTCATTACACAGTGCTTTTTGTACAACAAAGGTAAACTAATATCTGTATCTAGCATAAAGATGGTTTTTGAATACATTACACAACAATAGTGTAGCTGACTTTGAAGTAGGTTAAAACCATACACACACATCTGTTATTAAACTATTGGTGTTTTACAGTTTGTAGTAATGGTAATGGTTGAGCATTAAAGAATATGCATAACATGGGTGTATGTGTGTGTAATCTATGACCGAACAAGTAAGTTTCATGTCACGTACTAGAGTAATAACTTACAAAACAGTAACTTACTTTATGTTCAGCTAAAAGCAACAAGTAATACAATATGGTTATAATGGTACTATTGTTGTTCGGGTTCTTTTAGATTATTTGTTAAAGAGAATACTGTAAAGTTTATTTCACTTAATGATAAACAATTTAATTCTTTGAGTTCCAAGTTTAGTGTAACAAATGTTCACTGATTGGCCTGACATCACAAATAAACTAGGTGAATTTTTACTTTTGTATTGCTAATTATTCATTGAAATACAAACTGAATATTCACAGCACTAAACTGACTCACTCATTAGCTGACAATAACAAACAAACTGAAATAACCAAGCAATGATTACATATTAGCTAAGAAACTTACTAACACCACTAGTCTAACTGACTTTTCATGCAAAGCTGTATTTACTTCCTACACTATGGAGAACGTTTTCAACATCAAGGCAATGCCAATCACATTATGTTAAAACTTCCTTTTGACTAAGCCACAATATAAATTTATAGAGGCAACTATGTTAAAAACACTGATTACAACAACATATTAAAAATAAAAGTTACTCTTTTTATTTGATAATTACAAGATAATTTTAAGATGTACTGTGGCTAATAGAAACATACAGTTTAAAGTTTAAGAGATACATACTATTGAAAGTTTACAGTTAAAAGACACTAACAAATGTGCTACAACTTTGTTAATCAAAACAATACCATACTGTAAATACCCAAATTTTCTCTTTATCATCAAAATAATACTGTAGATAGCTGTATGTTTGTATTTATTGTTAAAATAATATTGTACTGTAGATACCTGTATGTTTGTCTTTATCATCAAAATAATACTGCACTTTAGATACCTGTATGTTTGTCTTTATCATTAATATAATACTGCACTTTATAAACCAGTATGTTTGTCTTTATCATTAACATAATACTGCACTTTAGATACCTGTACATATGTCATTATCATCAAAATAAAATTGTACTGTAGATACCTGTACGTTTGTCTTTATCATTAATATAATACTGCACTTTAGATACCTGTGTGCTTGTCTTTATATCAAAACTATATTGTATAATAGAAGGTTGGAACTTTGTTTTGGTATCAAGATAATATTTCTAAGTAGAAAATATTTCTAGAATTAGCACTTAACCTTCAGCATTTCTGTGTTTAATTGTAAAAGTAATATAAAACTACATTCTTACGTCTGTTGTATAGATAGCTTTGTTCATTTCCTTTCTCAGTCCCAATCTTGCTTTCATAGCCAGGTTCATTGAAGTATGGTTTCTCAGTAAAAATGAATGATTGTATGGATATTAAAACCTGAAAAAAAAAGTCTCTTAACTTTTAAATCAGACTCTTGAAATATAAAGACAAACCAAGTAAAATACAATGAAACAAAAACAGACATAAACAAGGCAATTTATTATCTTTTTTTTACATGGAAAAATAACCCAAGTGAAAGGAGAATGAAATAAAAATTGTCAATTCTATAGTTAGCATCTTGTAATGTCGGGAAAGTTAACATTTTTCCTAAGCTGAAAATATATTTCTGATGGACACTTACCTCTATCAGTGCAAATTTTCAAAGCTTGCCACTAGCCCTTCAATTCTGTATATCCACATATACATGATTATGCAGCAGCTCTCCACCAATAGGAGCATAACACAACCCCTATTGCAACTAGCACCCTGTCCACATTTGCATTCGTTAATCACTTCGAGATTGGTCAGAAGACATACACCACATATCACCAGAAATGGGGAGGCTGGATGGGAAATGTGAAAGGAGGTATCTATCTATTGGACACACATTTTCCATTTAGGAAAATGTTAACTTTTGATACAATATCATACCTCCACTTTAGAAATAGCTAGAATCCCACACTGGACTGGTGGAGGATCGGTGAAAAAATTATTCTCCTTTAGGAAGTGCCCAAAGAAAAACCATGAGGTTTGGAACCAAAAAAGGAAAATATTACATCACAGTGGGAGACTGCACCACATCTGATCCAGGTATACTCACTCTTCCTTCTTTTATGACTGTATCACAAACATAAAAGTTGGAAAAACATGAAGGAATCCCATAATACGTATTACCTATTAATAGGACCCCTGGGTGTAGCGTGGTTAGGCCGTGACAAACTGTAATGCTAGTTTGACCTCATCAAACACCTGGTGGCATCTGGAATTGTACAACAGTTTCATGGTAGGCAGAGGATCACCTACCTCTTCCCCTCTAAACAGGAATTGGTAGGGAAGACGAGCTTCAGTACCCAAATTTGTCTCCACTTGCACACATTCCAACCCAAAGAACACCTGATCCAAAACATGGTGAGCTTGGGTATGGTTTTTCCAATCCGCAGTAAGGGGAGGATACCTGACCGTACACAAGTAAGAATACATGTGCTGTGTCCAGCTACAACCAACATCTCCAGTCCAAAACCTGGTGGCATTGGGCATTTTTAATCCAGTCCCTAGTAGAAGGGATACTGGCCAGAACACATGTGAGGACTTACTTAGCTGGACCATCTCCAACTAACACCTGACCCACCAGGAATGTACATCCAGAGAATGGTAGGAAGGAGGAATGCCATGGTGGGAAAAAGCAATCTGTCAGATATGTATATTAATATAGCATAGTGCTGCAACCAAAACCTGGCAGCAACTGGAATTGCACATCAGGTCTGCAGTGGGAAGTGCTACATGCCATCAACACCCACAGAATGCCACTGCCCTACTTTCAACTGAGTAGTATGATGCATCACTCACAAGGACAGGTCTCCATGGCCCAAGCAGCTAGGAACTGATAAGTGGCAAGGACTCCCATACTCCAATAGAAGAAAGGAGGGAAAAATGTGTTGGAGAGTCCAGAGGATTGCATCACTGGATACTGTACAACAGATGACCTCGATACCCTATTTTGAAAAGCAGAGCTACCAAGTCGACAGAGTCGATTAGCCAACACCCGGTGGCATCTGGAACTTTACATCAGCTCTGCAGTATGAAGAGTCTCAATGCTACAGAGCTTCAGAGGTGGGGAGCAATCCTAGTCTGCTTTACTCATGTGTGTCCATGAGTGTACAGTCTGGGAAAAACATATTTATGAAGCAAAAGACCACTAGAGAGAGCTACTAGCAGTCCTACAGAACACCCCATCTCTATGGTGTGCATAACTGAATCCTGTGACATAACTGTTTTGGTATAGATGACAATTGAATGGAGACATGCAACCAACACCTGGCGACATCTGGAATTGTACATCAGGTCCATGGTAGGAAGAGCTACAATGTAGTTGAAATCAAGCATGGTCATAGGAAGGACAGTGTAGATTTTCAAAAGAAAAAGTATACCTGGTCAGGCACCACTCGCCACAGAGTGGGATCCCCAATATACTAACAAAAAGACTTCTGTAAATAAAGAAATAACAAAAACATAGTACTCACCAATCATAATGACACCATAGTGTGTACAATGGAAACTGGAGGTAAACGAAAACCCACTGAGCAAGAAATGGCCATGTGATGTAAATAATGTGAAACATTGGGAAATAATGTGTATTCCACATACTGGCCTTGATCATGACCTCCAAAGGAAGATGAAAATGGGTAGTCAGGGACATGGTGAGGTGATGGAGTTGATGAAAAGATAACCAAGAAAAGATGACACTCCTCAGGCAAAAGGGAAGAATACATCTGCCTAATTAACTGGAAAATCCAACTTATAAGGGTAACGGGAGAAAGCTCCCAGAACATGGAAGGGAGCAGTGAGAAGTCTTGGACCAAAATGAATGGTCAGAGAAGAGGATAATATAGGAACTGTGGAACAGTGCACAATAACATCAATTGCAATAACTTCAGAACACCACAAGCCAATAATATGAGGAACTGGGAATTTCAGAGCCTTGCCGGATTATCTGTTTTGCTGAACAAACAGAGGTCAAGTAATAATAATAATTCAACAATATACCTCTGACCCACTAATTATACTTTGCTTCTTTATATTGTAAACAGTTGACAAATCAATACCTTGTCTTGTATCAATATAGACTTGTGCTTATGCTTGATACCATGACTGTCACTTGGACTTTGCATAGAAGCCATAGCTAGGATTAAATGTAAGCAAAATAAGCTAAGAATTGCACAAAACTGAGGGATCACCACCACCAACTGCAGATGTAAACAATTAACTCTTTTGGTATGGAGGCACATGATGCCATCTTTATATTCTCTCTGTGGACATAAATAAAAAATTTAATTAAACAACTTTCTTTAAATATTTTTTCAGAAAAATTGTTATTTTCAAGTGCATTATATATTGAATTTTCATACACTATTGTCAACATTCTGTGTTGTAAAAAATTGAAGAAAAAATCGAAACTAAATATCTGTATCTTGTTAAACTAAATATTCTTGGCAACATTCATGAAAAAATTCAAGCAATTTGATCCACTAGTTTAATATTTATAAGAAAATTTTCACAAGAGTGACATACCTACTTAAAATATAAGTAACCCATCCTGAAAGAGCATGAGCTACATGCAATGCCATCTGTGGCCACCCATTGAACTAGTCGGGCAGTTGCGGGAATTTCAAGTGTGCTCTCGTAATTTTGTCCAGATTAAAGGAGGTGCTGGACCATCAGTTGCTGGAAAATTGGTGGTATACTGTACTAGGAACATGAAGACAAAGGATCAAATGGAGGAAGAGTGAGAGCAATCACCAAGGAGGGCAGGTTTAGAATCATAAGAAACAGGACATAAGGAAATAACAGCACAAACCTCATTAATTAATTCCACAAAGGGTGAAGGAGGTCTGGGTAAATCCCCCAATGATTGGGAAGCATATTCGGGGGTGGGGGTGGGATATGGTATCCAAATTTTCGTCCTGAGATACCCCAGGAGCAGGCATGACAGGATGATGTGGTAGTGAAGGTTGCATGAACGTGGACATTTCTCGTCAATTGGGAAACTCACATCAGCAATAATAGCTGTGGTAGTTGTAAGTACCTGAAACTGCGAGC